GTTGGATGACCTCTGGGAGACAAGTGGGTTTAATGAGGTCATGAAAAGGGCGGGGCCCCCATGATGGGATTAGGGTCCTCATAAGAGGAAGACATACCAGAGCCTCTTCTGTCTGCCATGTGAGGACATAGCAAACCAGGAAGGGGGCGCTCACCAGAACCCAACCAGGCTGACGCTCTGCTCTTGGACTTCTAGCCTCCACAACGGTGAGAAATAAATGTCTGGTTTAAGTCCCCCCGTCTATGGTCTTTTGTTAGAGCAGTCTGAGCTAGGACACGCTGACGGACTTATGGAGCTACAAGCAATTTGGCAGGGGTGGGTTCCTCTGCTTCTGAAGAACTGAGTCCTCCAGCAGGCATCAGTCACATACACTACCTGTTGATGGAGAAATCCCCGACGCCTAACAGGGAAGACCGCAGCCATCGCGAGGCCAGCTCTGAAGAGTACCTAACTCACAGCCCTGCTTTCTCTCCGCCACCACACTACTGGTCAAGCCACATTTGAAAGACAAACCAACTGCTACATTCGCCCCTTCCTCAGCCCTTTGTAACACCAGCCCTGAGTCCTAAACCAATAGAAAACAGAATTAAAAGCAATCAAAACCACAGCGTCCCAGCCCATATTGGCCACTAGATGGAGCTATGCATCGCACCAAAAAGACCAGAGGTGAAGCTGATTTTCTCCAAGTTCTGCATATATAAACTTGAGTTTCACAGCTGGTGAAAGCAAATTATATAAGCCCAAGGTCCTGGAAGGGTAGGCATGGAGAACAGACCCTGCACAAATAGTCATTCAATACCTACTTGTGGTCTCTGAGTTTAGAAAAATAATGGGCACGTCCTGCCTTCCAGGAGCTCCACCTTTGATGGAAGACAGAGAGAATGACAGTACTTGAGCACCCTGGACTCTGCCAAGCACTTTTCAAGTTCTATTGCTAAGTCCCAAAGGTTAAGAACTTGTCCCAGTTCATTTGGCAGAACCAGGATTAAATCTCAACTCAGTTTGCCCTTAAGACCATTTGCTCTCCTCAACACCAGCCAGCCCCTCTCAAACACTTCCCACACAAAGTGAAAAGTTCACACGTAAGGTTGGGTGTGAACCAAGGCCACCAGAAACACATGGACAGAGGTAACTTGGGCCAGGGACTTCAGGAGGGCATCACAGAGGAGGTGTTTCTTTTATTATTATTTTTTAGGAGGTGTCTATTTTGGGGATCAGTCAGATGGTACTGAATGGCAGGTAGCCCAGAGCAGTGGGAAGTGTGGGGCATGTGAGGTGGGATGTGGCCAGGGTTAGGGCAGGGAAGGCAGCTGATGAAAAGACCATAAAGAGCCTCCCACGTTCAGTTGAGATCTGTTCCCCCAAGACATGGGAAGCCATCAAAGGTTCTTGGAAAAATTTCTGACGTTACATTTAAATGATCGTTTTTTTCCCAAGAAGGGATGTATACTTTGGAACATGATACAACTCAGTGCCTCCTTTGAAAAGAAATAAATCATCTTCCCAAACATATGGATGCTAAGTCTGTCCCTTTAATTTTATTCTATACCATATGGCACTTTGAATTTTTAGATCAGTAAACAGATTGACTTCACAGATCAAAACTTAGCAAGACACATCTTCGTCTGTTATTTCCATTTCTTTTCCACTAAGGACAGCCAAAGCTCAATTTATCAATCTAATAAAAGGAAGTGGTAAGGTCCGGCAACAACTTGTAAAGTACTTAGACACGCCTAGTACATACTAAGTGCAATGGAAAAGTTTAATAAATACACACTCCAAAAGACAAAAGGCATTTGTTACTAGGTTCTTAGCAAAACTCAATGGAAATAAGGTAATTTCAGCAGCACCTTTGGGAGAACTGAATGATGCGCACAGGTGCACGTGCACACATAGCCAGGGCAGACAATGAACTAGAGACAGCAAAAAACAGCTGCTATATACCAAGCTGGGGTACAGTGTGTCATTAAAAAAAAAAAAAACACAAAGTCACAGGTTTTCAGAAACCAGAACTTAACTTCCATGTCAGGCATTCTAAATAAACTCACTGTAAACTTTCACAAAAACTCTCCTTAAAGACTACCCAAAGGGATTTACATATTACTCATACATCAAGGCTGTTCCCACTAAGCCAAATAAGCATCTGGATGAAAACTTGAATCATCTCATGGTTTCCAAGTGTCTGGATGTTTGAGGTTGATAAGACATCTAGACCTTGTCTGAAACTCTGTGTCTTCATCAGATATTTGCCATTAATCAGAAACAACCTCAAAGAGCAATATCTAATTGTAGAAGGTTAAAGACCATAGTAATTGCAGCGCTGCAAGGTTTAAGGGAGTGAAGTGATGGACCTGATGTCACAGAGCTTGTAAGGGGCAGAGCAGGGCTCCAGCACCGCCTGATATCTCAGTCTGTTTTCTACCACATCAACGGTTTCAGTGAAATGACTTATTTAGCAGATACTGAAGCACAGAGCAAGAGCCCAGTCCTTCAATACCTACATGTTGTCATGTGTATAAGAGGAAAAAGAAGTGAGTACAAAGGACATGAAAGCTGCCCTGAACTCAGCATATGAAGGCAAACTGGTAACATGGCCCTGAGCAGAAACTCACAGGCATTTCCATACAGTGGAGTCCTATTTAACTCGTGTTCCAGAGTGTTACAACTAAAAGGAGCATTCGAGGCCACTTCGGCTTTCCCCTTCTCATTTTGAAGGTAAAGTTCTACATTGAAAGAAATGGGGAAGAAAAAGCAGACCAGAGTTCTCCAATTTCAATAATCGGGTGGTTTGCTTACATTTCCGCACTTTTATCTATACTTGCTCTGAGAGTATCTCACTTGCTCAAAGTGTAAGCTTCCCGAAGCAGGAACTGGAATGTGAACACTTGTGCCTGTTTCGCAGGGATAAAGGTTATGTCTGAAGAGCTAAAAAAAAAAAAAAACAACAACAACAACAACAACAACAAAAAAACCACAACTGGGAATGTCTCACGGGGACATCACCAAGGTTCAGTGGACGGTGTTTCAATGTCTCCACCTTGTGGAAACGGTCAATACTGCATCAAGATCAGACACTGACCACCTATTGAGGATTAAGACCAACTTGACAGTAAAACTATTATAAAATAAAAAAAAAAAAAAATCTCAATATGTAATAGCATATTACAGTGGGAATGGATGGTGATAATCTTGAGGCCATGCTGGATACCAAAAGTCTTCTAAATAAATAAAAAGGCAATTTAATCTTAGTAATAGGTGTATGTCACTATTTTTTGTGCTTATGGAAAACCAGAAACACAAAATGATGCTCTCAGTTGCCCAGATCATTTCCAGTCCATTAGTGTTCCAAGCCATTCTGGAAAGGAGAAATTCGTTACATTGTAAGGGTTTGGTGGCTCTTGTCTTCCAAAGTTTCACTCACCAAGATGGTTCTAAAAGTGACAGACAGAAAACCAAAGAACCTTTATAGCTGAGATTTTCATTGAATAAAAGAACATGTCTACTCAGACAGGTAAAACTAAGCAAAAGTAATTCTGAAATAAACTCCAGCAGTTGTGCTATTTTAATGTTGCAATAAAATATGGGGGAAGATGGTGTAATAACAGGCTCTGGCTTTGAAGCCATGAACCCTGGGCTTTGCCTCCTCATCACTTGCCATTTGGGACCTTGGGCAAGTTATTTAACCCTTCAGAGCCTCAGTTTACTCATCCATAAAATGGGAATTATGATATCACCTGCTTGCTGTGAGAACAAGGTTATGCATATAAAGCCCTAGCCCAGTGCTCAGCACACAGTGGGAGCACATTAGCTATTATTAAAATTATGAAAGTACTGACTCACCCACGGGGGTCGTGATTGCTCTGTTCATGGAAAGGAGCAGTATGATTATTCTGCCTGATTTCTATTATCTGCAACTTTGACTGCTAGAATGGGAGAGGAGGAAAGACCGTGGGGAACTTCTGTACAAGTGAGGCTAACAGATGGAGAAGTCTCAGGTCAGTGAAATAAACAGAGGCACCTTCCGTTTACACTGTGATCTGGAAGTGGAGCTAAAATCAGGCGGCCACACCTCGTGCCACACACAGCCACAATGCGGCTTAGACACCATCCCACCGCTTCCCTGAATTTCACATGCGAGTGAATGGATCACAGGGAGGCTGGGCTTGTTCCTTCATCTATCGATGCACATGTTCACTTATTTAGTACGACGTCTAAGCCTCTGTACGTACGGGGCACTGGGGATAAGGCGGCGAACAAGCCAGCCGATGTCCCTGCTTCGTGCTCCTTACTGTGGGGTAAGCAGGAAGGGGCCAGAAGTCAATAAAATACAAACACATCATCGGGATAATTTCAAATAGTAATAAGCTTTCAGAGGAGCCTAAGACGATGATGGAGAGGACAAGGGCATGGGTCAGGCCACGTAACTACTTCAAGCTGAATCGTCAAGGAGGGCTCCTCCAAAGAGAGGCCAGTGGAGCAACAGGGAAGAACCAGCCATGCCGAGATCAAAGACCAGAAAGATCTGAATGGAGGCCGACAGCGCACAGCCCGGGAGGCAGTGAAGAGCTTAATGAGACCAAGGAAGAGAAGGGGCAGCCACAGCCGAGCAAGCAAGGTGGGTGGAGAACGAGGAGCTCGGAGAGGAAGGTGAGGGCCAAATCCTATAGGATCTGGGAGCCCAGGCTAAAGAGTCTGGATTCCATCTTAAGTGCAAGGCTCAGTTTAAAGGACTGACACAATAGGTTCGTTACCAGCTGTGGCTCTGGCTGCTGCTGGAGCCTTCTAGACCTCCCAGCAAGTTCCTGCCTAAGTCTGGACTGCAGCCCACATCTGGGACTCTCAGCCCAGAAGGTGCCCCTGCACACCACACAGCCTTTGACAGAGCAGAAGGCGAAGTAGACAGTTTCATCTCCGTCAGAGAACTTAAAGCCCTATGAGAGAGAAACCGGCTGCCAAGCCGCCTCCTGCTCTTTGAAGAGAGAGAAGCCCCAGGTACTCACCCGCTGGTGATGTCATCTGTCCGGATGTTCTTGCTCAGAACATCCCCATCACTCATGTAGCCTGGGGCGTCCATGCTGATGCCTTCCAGGTCCATCTCATCTCCTGCCTTGTCTGAGACGTCCACGTGGCACACACTGTTTCCCCTGGAGGCGAGCTGCCTCCTCAGAGGGGCAGAGTACACGTAGCGGCCCGACTCAGTGTTGATGAAGCGGCTGGCATTGGCTCGAGGTGGGTACCCATTGCCCATAGAGGGGGCGTCTCCTGCTTGGAGCCGAGGGCTGGACTGGCCGAGTCTCCAGGACAGGGGAGTGGGTCTGCCACTCAAGCTGAGGATACTGCGTCCGCTTATCTCCGTGGTGACATTGCTGTCAAATGTGGTTTCCAATGTGCTGAAAACATAAAACCAGCCTTGGCTTAGACAGACCCTCATGTGCTCAGTATCCCTTTGCCGTTTATATGTTATGTTCTTTAAATTTTTTTTTAGAATTATGAAATATTTCCTATATACAAAATAGGATCAAATAATAGCCACTGATGTGCCACGCAGCGTGTTTCCTCTGTGAGAAATGAAAAGATGGAGCTGCAGAGTGCAGAACACTCTGGAAAGCCCAGCAGAGACTTTCCCCCTAAAACATGGTATAGGATACCCACTACCAATTCCTTTCGTTAAATGATCTTAACTTTTAGCATCTTTTTTCCAACCCAAGAAAGAGAAAAATGCCGAAATGATAACGAGGGGGGCGTAACGTACCCACGGGTGCACACCTTCTCACACACCGTGTCACAGCTCCCCTTTCCGCTCCGGAGCCCCCAATGTCACCTTTCACATGCTCAGCTCCCATGGGACCAAGCAGGTGGGGAGAGCCCTGATCTTCTACCTCTAAGCTCTCTTTCCCTGACACTTTTGCTTCTCCCACATTTTCTCCAAAAGGATAACTAAACTTTGGGGGCAAAAGGCTGAAAGTAGTATATACCCAGGCTTGAGTTCCAGAACAAATTAAATCACAAGGATCTGAACCTGCCAGGCGACTGAGCTCATCCTGGCCACTGGAAAGACTCCTGTGTCCACTCTTTCCGGCCCTGCAGTTGCTGTGGCCCAACCAAGCTGGTCCGTGTATCTCCGCGGAGCACACTGGGGTCTTCCGATTAAGCAGAGAGGCTCTTTCCTGCAGGAAAGCCATCAAAGGGCTCCCTGATGTCATCATGACCATCCTAGCCCACACCAAGAAAGTCATTGAACAGTCACGTCCCCCAGCAAGTCAGTTTCGGTGATCAGGGTGGAAAGAGGATGTTTCATACTTGATCACAGAGTCCCAGGGCCTAGCGGCCGGCTCCATGCTATCACACGGCTGAAGGTTTGGTGGGGGGCACCCCACTACCACCCCCTAAGTTGACTGTCCTCTGGAAGAACCAATTTGGTGCCTCAACTGTTTTATTGTTTCCCTTCAATCCTAGAAACAGCCTTACTATCCTCATACTGGGGACCCCTAAGGATCAGGCCCCTGTCTTATTTAAGATAGAACCCAGAGTGCTTCACCCCGATCTGCCAAAGCTGCCAGGAATGGGGAAGCCCTGCTGTCTCCTTGTTCTATTCATTTATCAAAGAGACTGAAATTGGAGAACAGGAGACTCCTTGGGAGTTCCCTGGGGTAACTAGGACTCTGCCTTCATTATCAAAGCCCAGCATAAACCTTAAAGCTTGGTTCTGCCAAAATCCACTAAGGGGTGTCTGAGGGTTGCATCCTCTTCAACTTCTTGCTCAACAATGAAAACAACCTGATGAATGTTTCCAATGTAATCCTAGATTTCATCCAACTAAATCATAGTTTAAACATGATCATAAGTTTTTATAAATATTTCCTTACGTGTTTTATACACAGGCATGACTAACAACTTTACAGAGTGTTGTGTATCAGAAGACTGGGTAGGAATTCAAGTTATTCACTTTATCACACAGGTCAAATATAGTTCACCTGCTCATTTTCACAGCACAATACAGGCTTGGAAAATGCAAGTAAAGCGAAATCTAAATGGAACTGGTCCACAGCATCCTCTGTCGAATGGAATTAGCAACCACCTGCTTTGGGGAGGAACCAGTCTACACTCATTTTCGCTCCTTATATTTCTCTTCTGCACATCGCATGGCACTCCCTGTGAGTTCCAGCACACTTGGGAAGCGAAGTTATTTATTCCATTATTAGCCAAGTCACTTTGCATTGGCATGAACACACACAGGAGAAGCTGCATGAAAATCAAGTTGCCTGCAATTCGGTGAAGAAATTCACGTGGCAGATACCTGTGTGTGACCTGAGTCCCCCGTAAACTAGACATGGTCTCCTCCAAATTCTGCCGCAGGTCGGCGATGTTCTTCACGGTCCGCAGTCGCCGAGCCTCGGGGTCTTCCCCTGCAAAGATGGAGGTTAAGACGTTTAATTCTCTGATCGACCGGGAGCTCCGTGAAACACACCATGTTCCACACTCACCAGGGGTGCTTAAGGATTTGAGAACAAATGGACGGATGGAAGCCCAAAGGAAGTTGTTAAATCCAAGGAGAGAAGTCTTTCTTTCCCCTCCAGGTCCCTCCTGAAACAGGTAAACTCTAGCTTGTAGGAGAAGCAAGGCACCTAGTCTGAGGGGTAAATACATTTTCAAATGGTCTCCAACAAAGACACACACAAGTTAGGTCTGAGCACTCCCCGCGAATCATCTTCTGCCCATGCAAAAGCGGGTGAGGCATTTTATCTTCTCATCCACTGGTGATAACACACTGCTCTCCACCAGCCCTACTTCGTAAATGGGACTTGCACAGTGGCTAACCGATCTTTACTTATTAATCACGAATACTTCTACAGAGTGAGGTCTGCCTTGTTCTGTTAGATTTACTGTGTCATCTCAAATTCTGGTTCCTCTAACTCATTGGCTGTGGGATTGGGGGGAAGGCGCTGACCCACTCTAGCCTTCGGATTCCAGAGTATTAAAATGAGGACAGTGACAGTACCGACCTCATAGGACAGCTGCAGGGACTAAATGGGATGGGGCCTGGAGACCCCTGAGCACAGTGCCCACCTCAAGCACTGACTCATGCCTGCTGGCGCTGCAGGGAGGGAAGCCGTCAAGAGGATGCAGGGCTTCTCTTCAAGTGACAAGAGACTTCCATTCTCGGGGCAAGATTTTCTGCAGGACACCTGGCCAGGCAGAGGTGAAGCAGGCACAAGCGTACCGGAAAAATAGGCCACACATAAGCTGGGAAACCGCATGCCCTCAAGCGTAGCCTTGCTCTGGGCTCTCTGGCTACCCCGCTCTGTTTGGGCTGAGATGGTGCAGAGGAGATGGGGCATCACTACGGGGATGATGAAAGGAAGCAAGTGCCTTTCCCTCAGAGAAATTCCAGGGAGGGCTGAGAAAACTGCAGAACCACCATCAAGGCTTTTTTTTTTAATTCCTTTTTTTAAATTTTATTTTATTATGTTATGTCAGTCACCACTCAATCACATCACTGTAATTTTTGCAAATAGTTTTTGATGCAGTGTTCCATGATTCATTGTTTGCGTATAACACCCAGTGCTCCGTGCAGTACGTGCACTCTTTAATACCCATCACCGGGCTAACCCATCCCCCCACCCTCCTCCCCTCTAGAACCCTCAGTCTGTTTCTCAGAGTCCATCGTCTCTCATGGTTCGTCTCCCCCTCCGATTTCCCCCCCTTCATTCTTCCCTTCCTGCTATCTTCTTCTTCTTCTTTTTTTTTTTTTTTAACATATAATGTATTACTTGTTTCAGAGGTACAGGTCTGTGATTCAACAGTCTTACACAATTCACAGCGCTCACCACAGCACATACCCTCCCCAATGTCTATCACCAGCCACCCCACCCCTCCCACCCCCACCACCCCAGCAACCCTCAGTTTGTTTCCTGAGATTAAGAATTCCTCATATCAGTGAGATCATATGATACTTGTCTTTCTCTGATTGACTTACTTCGCTCAGCATAATACCCTCTAGTTCCATCCACGTTGTTGCAAATGGCAAGATTTCATGTTTTTTGATGGCTGCATAATATTCCATTGTGTGTGTGTGTGTGTGTGTGTGTGTGTGTGTGTGTGTGTGTGTACCACATCTTCTTTATCTTTCCATAGTTTGGCTATTGTGGACATTGCTGCTATAAACATCGGGGTGCACATGTCACTTCAGATCACTACATTTCATCAAGGCTCTTTAAAAGCCTGTGACTATCTCATGCGTCAAGCAACATTTTTAAAGAAATCCCCGCACAGAACACAGCACGCATGGGCAGCAGCTAAGAGCATTTACATCAGACACTAAGGAGAACTCCCAGCGGTCATCTTTAATAAGGCAACAGGCAGCTAAGAAATGTTATAGCAGTGACTTTCTTTCTGAGCCAGAACGGCTTCCACAGGTTGTTCCTGCATGGTGGTGCCTGGAGGCTGGCAGATGGACCGAATGATAGATGTGTGATTTTTGGGAGGAAATTGGCTCTAGCCAACTCTCTTGTCCTTGAAAATGCCAAGTGTTTCCAATTTTCTCCCCCTTTTGAACCAAGAGAAAGTTGGAAGGCAATTTTCTCTTATCTGAAAAGTGGTCCAGCTTGCATTTCCCACCCAATTCTTTAAAAATACATACATGTATGTGTTTTGAAAGGAAAGCAGTGATGACTGTTTACTTACCTCCCCTGAGTGGTGCTGGAAGAATGTAACTGCATCTTTCTCCTGGGGCCATCAGGTAAATATCTTTTGTTGTCAGTTTGGCCATATTCTGTCTATGTAAGAAGGCCAAAAAGGAACTGACCCTTTGGACAGTTCTAGGCCCTGCAGTACACATTTATCAAAGCTAAATCTAGGCACATGTTTTCAAATTAATTAATTACATGCCAAAGTATAATAATTATACTTATTTCTCCAAGTTTCTCCTAATTGACATGTTTGCCTGCTAACACTCCTTTAGAAAGTCAAAGATCTTTGACATGGGATGGTATTTCACCCTTACTCTTAGTAACTGTCACACAAATCTATAGATGCCTGAGAGGTATTTCTTGTCCACAAATGTGTGGTCAGTGTCCAGTTAAAGAAAAAGCACAGACTATCTGCATTTCGACAGATAAAGGCTTGAATCCTGGCACTGCTGCTGATTAGCAACTTGACTTTGAGTAGGTCACTTATCTTTCTGAATGCCAAATGTAAAATGGGGATGAAAACCTTCTCTGAAAGGGTTGGTTGGAAGATCAAATGAAGATGCATATGATACGCCTGGCACAAAATAAGGGCTTGTTGGATTTGGGTTTTCTGTTTTCCCCCAAGGTGGGGTGTGTGCAGGGGGGTTTCTGCTGGGAAATGTCTGCTCCCCTCAGAGCTCTACACATACCGGATTCCAAGAGCAATGCAGAAGGGCAAACCAGGACCCCACCGGCCTTGCTTGGGTGATCACATTCTGAATTGCCAATTCTACCTCCTCAGATGATGTAAGACTCCCCTACCAACTCACAGCCTAAACAAAATAAGAACACAACCATGCTCTGGTGGAAAGAGAGGCTCCTTCTGCTCATATACAGAGATCTTAAGCTATCCCGTGGCTCTTTGCAGCTCTCATATATTTGCAAGGTCAGCCTCCCTCAGGCCACTGGTCACGATGGAGAGAACACCACATTCTGATCAAGTACAGCTGAGTCTGGAGGATGTCAGGGTGTTACAAGAGGAACATGGAAGGAACCCGGGATTTTTACTTGGGGGAAGGAGGCTTAAGGAAGAAGCTGTTGTATGACAGAGAATGGAAATTATCTGTGGGCTACAGGAGATGGATTATATCCAGTGAGTAGAAACGAAAGAATAAAGAATTCTGTTACTAGTTAGAGTCAACAAAAAATGGAAGGGTTGCCTTACGAAGGAGTAACTTCCTGTCACAAATATCTAAGCAGAGACTGAAAGACATTTCATCAGTGATGGATTGAGGGATTCATGGATTGGGTAATAAACGGGTGTGTGTGCTCCCTTCTAACTCTACAACCCAAGATGCAGGTTTCAGCTGTAATGCTATGCTAATGACAAAGCACCATGGGAAAATCCACCTAATTCCCCAACTAAGGAGAGGAAGAACAAAGCAATTGGTCAAATAGTCTCCTAAATGTCCATTGTCCATTTCTTTTTTTTTTTCCCAAGAGAAAGTGAGTGTGGAGCCCAACGCAGGGCTTGATCTTGTGACCCTTAGATCATGACCTGAGCCAAAATCAAGAGCCGTACACTCAAGTGACTAAGTCACTTAAGGTGCCCCCTAAATATCTATTTCTAAATACACCTACTATTCCTTGTCATTTCAAGGGATTGGCTATGAATAAGTTAATTTAACCTTGTACTAATATCCGTTATCTCCATAATTCACAGAACAGCCACACATTTACTTTCCACTGCTTGAATGTAAAGACAAGCCACTCTGATTAAGCAATTCCCATCAGCGAAGGAAGGAAGGAAGGAGGGGAGAGGGGAGGACGGACTAAATTCCCATCAGCAACCCATGCCACCAGACTTCACGAAAACCAGAGCGCTTGATCAGGCAAGACTGGCTGCACAGGTCTGATCCCCCACACCAACCACAGCGTCTCAGGATCCCTGAGCTCTTCCTTGGCTGTGCAGGCTTGATGCAGAGGAGACACATGGAGAGAGAGAAAAACTGGTGAAAGATCACAGGCTGTAATCTGTCACTCCGAAATTTAAGTGTGATGTGGAATGTTCTCTAGCTGCTGCTTTTCCTTTTCAAATGTGAATTTTGCTGAGCCTCGGTGTCTGACATGAATCCACACTACTCCACGGGACATACATCTGATACACGCCTGGCTCTTGGAGTGCTGGCCCAGCTCCTTTGATGTGTGCACATGAGAACACGGTCTGGAATGCGTGTGGAGACCTGAGCAGTCGCTGAATGCCACGCCCTTCTTCTCATAGCGGCTCTTTAGCCAGGCTCTCCGTGTCCTCATCTGCAAGGGGGCTACAGAGCTTGGTGAGAAGGAAGCACAAAATGAATCCCAAATGTGGGGCCCTGAGCCATGGCAAGATGGATCACTTCAAAATGGCTTCAGAACTCTGCCCCATCACTGTGCCCAGCCAGCAGAACCAGAAGGAAATAGTTAAATCGCTCAGATCCTCCGAAATTAATACTCAGGGTTAATGGTGAGATGGGTACGATGCCATCACGTGGGCTGCAAACCAATTCCACAGCTGTAATGTGGCTATTAAAATGCTGTGGTCATGGATATTTAGTCTAATAAATGGATTTTAAACATGGATTCAATTTTTAACCCAACTCTGGAAGTGGTAAGATACACGAAGAATAATACAACCACTGCTAAATATGTGGTTTACCACTTGCTTTCCTGATTAGAAGTTGCTGGAAGAGAGGGCACGGAATTGGGGAATGGGGAAGACAGACAGAGGAGGGGTTAACTCTGAATGCACTGCAGTAGGAATCCTAACCCATATCTAACTTCTCTCCTTTAAGAATGTAATGGTGTAACATTGATAAATGAATATCTGTGGCCTTAACTATATGACACGGTGGATTTTATGTTTTCACATAACATAATACCCCTTTAACATTATCGGCTAGGTTACACTTAAATAAAATTTAGATTTGCTCGTTTGTTTCTTTTTGGTAAAAGCAGCATGCTGTATTATTCTTTCGGATTAATGGAGGAGCTAAGAATGCATTTTCAATCAGTGCTTCCATATAGGAAAGAAAAAAAGAAGTATTTTATAGCTCCAGATCTTGTTTGAAACTGACTTTATCTGAAGAGTAAACAAGGAGGTTCAAGGTTAAGTGTCAGAGCACCCAGACCCCCTACATGAATGAAATGGAATATTTATTAAAATAGGATCTGCCAATAAGTAAGAGACTTATTGACAATTCTGGGGACAAGGGAGTGCATTGTGTGAGAGAGGACTGGAAAGAAAGAGAAGAAGGAAAATGATAAAATAACAAAAAAGAAAATAAGTTTGTTTAGCTCATCCACCAATGCAACAGTAAAGTAACTTTGAGTCAAGCTGGGTTTGTGCCCTTCCAGCAGGTGGTCATACGGGAGGCCTCATCACCAGCAGACACAGACTTTCTGGGGGCTCCGTACTCACCAGTGAGTTCTTCCAGAGCAGGCTGTCCACTCTTGGTGTAGTGGCTGGGCTCCATGCTCACACCCGCGGAGCTGGATTCAGCAGTAACATTCCCTTCGGTGTCTGTCTGGGACCTTCACACACAAACCAAAGCAGACACACTTGTCACGAACAGTAGCTACCACATCTGGACCACTGTGGTCTGACCACAGCACCCACCATCCACAAGAAGCTTTAGAACAGAGCAGACCAGCAGACTGACTCTAAATAATTCATCAGCACATGTGGAGCAATGTCCTAGGAAGAGAGAGAGCCACTGAACTGTAAAAGATGAAATATTCATTGCCCAAATGGAGGGTCTGCAATCCCTCACTGGGGAATGCTTCTCTGAATCCCCATCAGGGAGCTGGGTCTAGCCAGAAAAATGCTGGAGAGTACCGCGTGGTTTGGATCATTTAACCTCTGCCAAAGAGCAGCTTCTAAGTACTCCGCAATGCCAGCAAGTCAAGCGTAAAGAGGACTCCATTAACAGCCCCACGGCCCTCCCCAAATCTTCCTGACATGGCTCTTTCTGAAAAGGTGACTATAAAACCAGTCAGGAGTGGGTGCCAAGCAGGTGTGTTTGCCCTCCACGTCTCTGATTCAGAGCTCAGATTTTCTGAGATGAAAGGTCTCATTGATCATTATTTCAACACTTGACTGAAATCTGCACTTCCCCAAACCTTCTCTGTGCCCTCATTTGTCAAGCAAATCAAGGCAACTGCTTCGTGCAATGTGTTCTTGCCACAACTACCTCTGCTGACTTAGGCATGGCATGCAAATGCATAATTGCACTCAGATGCATAACCCTGGGTGTAGCATTATTAATTCATTAGCATCCTGAGCTCATTCAACCAGATTTCACTCTCTGTGAAGAAAGTGTTTGCCAAGAATGTGAACTGTCTTAAATGTGGGGGACGTACTGAGAAACCTCGTCATCTATTCTGCCCCGCCTCTGCCCTCTGAATGAAGCCATCAGTTCCAAATTCCTGCAGTCTCTGACCGTTGAGCATATTTGGATTCCCACTGCTCCTCTTGACCCCCTGGCCAGAGTCCAGGCTCTCATCATCTCTGCCCTATAAGCACTTTGTAAACAGGTACACTGCCTTCAGTCTGGAGGTTACAAATGGCTGCCAAGTATTAGAACCAGCCCACGGATTCTTACTGGTCTGTGTAGTATTGTAACGCTTTTTGAATTCATTTCAGCATTTTAAAACTGGGAGATTTCGCAAGAAATATCTGGATTTCTGCCTTGTCCCTTTCTCTTCTTTTTCTTTCAGTAAAAACAAGAAAGTCCTGATAGACTTTCTTGCAGGGCGCCACCTGCCGGTGCCAAGGGATGTTTGCTCCCTCCAGAGAGGCCTAGAACTCCCTCTGCCACAGTCCCATTACCTCAAGCCGCTGATTTAGGTTACCTTTTAGGTCTGAATCAGGCACCTGAATCTGCGCTCTCTATTCTAGGCTGCTTGTAGGTCTGGTCTACTCCCCACACCATCCTCCACTGATTTTTGTAATGTGATCACATCACTCTGATGAAAGGCCTCTGATAGTTTCCATTGCCCACAGAGAAAGTTAAGTCCTCACTGTGGAAGACGATGCCCGATGTGGGGATTCTTCATTCATCTCCAGCCCTGTCTCCTGCCAGTCCTGCCCTATGTTTCACCCCTGTCTTCCCTCCATCCCGAGATCATATCATGCCCTTAGCAGTTTTGTCTTTGTAGTTACGGTGATCTGTGCCTGAAGGCTGTTTCCCTCTTTCTTCCTGCAGTTCCCACGTCATCTTGGCCAGGAAGCCTCCCTGGACAGTACTAGCTGATGGCTCTACCTGTGTGTTTCGACAGTGCTCTTACGCGCCTGACGCCGATATGTTACAATGGGATCTAATTAATACATCTTTCCTCAACCAGAGAGCTCTCTGAAAGCAAAGACTGGCTTTTTTGATATGTACATACAAGAACTTGAGCTGTTCAAGTTCACATGTAGAGCAGACACTTAGGCAGGGTGTGGTGAAGAGACAAATGAGAAATTTTTAAGTCTAGAAAGATGCTGGGTATGGAAAGGAGCATTAGACTCGGGAGTCTGAACCCTCCGAGCTATAGGAGTGTAGCTGGCTGGAGGAAGCCATGCACATCTGAGAAGTCATGTCATACCTCAGACCCTCAGGGCCTGCCCTCGGTACAGCAGGGCTTACAATAGCGACCTCCCCTGACAGGATATAGAAGCATTCAGTAGAGCTCCAAGTGATAGATACACAGTGTTACTTCCGAATTGATAAAGAGAATTCATTCAGAGTGATTTTAAAAGATGATTTATCTTTCTTTTATGCCTTGGTAACATCACTAACATGGACAGATTCTGGGGGTGGAGGGAGCACCGCAAATTATCTGCAGTGAGCCATGAACTTGATCGAATTTTAGAGCACAAGGGGAGTTTAACCCATTTTTTAAAAATCCCCTCATTTCATCCAATCTCCTCACTCTACAGGTGAGGACAATGTGGTTCAGAGAGACGCAGTGATTCAGATTGTTTCATGCTTCAGAACTCGGTCCCTCTAGTTAGACAGATGGGTTTAAACGCTAGCTCTTCTAGCTATTAGCTCTGGACTTGGTGCAAGTTATTTTTACTCTAAGCCTCAGTTTGCTCACCTACAGAATGGGGATTTCAAAAGTAGCTAGCTCAGGGGCGCCTGGGTGGTTCAGTCGGTTAAGCAACTGCCTTCGGCTCAGGTCATGATCCTGGAGTCCCGGGATGGAGTCCCGCATGAGGCTCCCTGCTCAGCAGGGAGTCTGCTTCTCCCTCTGACCCTCCCCCCTCTCATGTGCTCGCTCTCTCTCTCTCTCTCTCACTCTCTCTCTCAAATAAATGAATAAAATCTTTAAAAAAAAAAGTAGCTAGCTCATGGAGTGTCGGGGATGATCATACGGGCTAAGGCACAAAAAGCCCTTAGCTGGGTCTCTGCACATACTTGGTGCATACTCTCCATAGCTCTCCCTACAGGCAGGGCCCAAGACTACACAGGGAGTCACAAGCTAATAAAAGAGCCCAGGCGTCCCAATTCCCATCCTGGTTCACCTGAGAAGGAAAGGAAAGGCACATCAGATGGGCCAGAAGGACCTCGTACAGGGTGAACGTGAAAATGAAAATGCAGCTTGACAGACAGCATGACATTTTCTCCTTCCTCCTATTTGTCAGACATTTGCTCTTTCATTAGTTTTCCTCCCACAGAAAAGCTTGAAATTTTAAAAGAGGTTAAATGTTTTACAATCTTGCCAGTGATTACAGAAAAAAAGAGGGAGTGAAATTGATGGTGACCAAAGACCATCCTATATTTTAATTTCGAAAATGCAAATCTACAATCTGTGAGCAGGAGCTTGAATATGCGTGACCTCAAGACTATTAAAGTTATTGGAATGATAAAAATTTCATGGGGAGCAATTCAGTTGCCTCCATGGTTCAGCGAACAACTGCATTCAAAGCCCTGCAAGGAGACTCTGCATGGAGTGCTGAGTCATTCACTCTCTAAGCCCTGGCACTCTTCTCCAGGGTTAGCTGAGCTGATGACTTGATGGAATAAAGAGATGACCTTCTCCCAATTAAAAAGCCCGGGCGTGACCCCCGCTGGCGGGGAGGGTGAGTCGAAGAGAAGGAAAGAGTGACGAGGAGAGGCCTGGCATCCCCTCACTGGCTGGACCTGCCTGGCTTTGCTCTGAATCACTCAGGCCAGTCTTTCCAGCCGCTGTGGGCAGGGATGGTTACAAAGCCTCCCAGAGTACAACTCGGGCAGAGAGAGAGGGGATAGCCAATTCTTTGGGGAACCATATAGACACAGGAAGCTCATGAACAGGGATGTAAATACACGTGGGCATATGCACACTAGCATTTTGTAAAGGAATAAGAACTTGTCTCCATATTTGGGACTGTCAAAGTATGTCCATGCCTATGGGGGCACGAGTGTGTGTGTGTCGTGTATACGTGTCTATACTTAGGGCAGAAGCCGTACAGGAAGTGCCGGGAACATGGCATTCAATCTTCGGACCCCTTTTGCTATGCAGGGGGTATTATGAACATTCAGCTGTGCAGACTGGCCAAAGGTACGACATATCTCAAGTATAGGATCAAGCTGAGCACGATGAGCAAAGCTTTGGGACTGCCTTAAAAGTAGAGCTAGGGGAGCTTCCGTCTGCTGGAGAGGACTCGTTGGCACGTGTCAAGTACCACCAAGAGCCAGCGTCCTCCATTCCGCAAAGGTGTGCGGTGCCAGCTGAGCCATGAGAGGCCCTCGCAGGCCACCAGCACACAGAGCAAGCAGCACCTGGCTCCACATTCTCTCCCGTGGTCCCATGGATGTGCCGTTAGAGACGGAGAGGGACGGCGGGGGGGGGACAGGATGGAGTCAGACAAGCAAACATCCAGGCTTGTCTCAATATAACCTGGTTCTTTGGTTCTTCTAGAACCGGTCCCTTCCTCCCGTTCCCGCTCTCCTCTCAAAAGAATCTAGTACCCAGCAAGGACTGAAAAAATACTTAATACATGTGATGTAGTAAGAAACCATGAGCGTCTGGAAGTTCAGGACAAACCCCTCTGTGAAAAGAAGCCTCAGGTATTCAGCAAGGTGATTTCTGTTTTTCATTTTCTGAAGTATGTTCAGGATCCATTAGGACCGACGCTGGGGCCTATCATGTCCAGTGACACCGAACCACCCGCCAAGTCTGCTCGTGCTGCAGCTGCTTCTGTAAATGCCCCGCTGGGGCCCCACATACCTGGCAAACTCCTCCTCATCCTGGGGGCAGCTCCAATTTTGCCTCCTGTCTGTAGCTTTCTCTCCCCCTCCCTGCCCAAGCCATGCCGGGGCTAACTGGTCCCTCCAGCACATGTGCACAGCTCTATCAGAAGCTGGTCAGAGGGTACCTCAGCTGCTAGCCTTCAGGCTCCTGGAAGGCAGGCCCGATCCCTGCCCTCAAAGACCTAGAATCTACCAGAGAGGCTCGCTGCCCCATGGCCCAGCACGGGCAGGCAGGCGGCCGCACCTACCTGTACAGGAAAGGCGCGACGGTGGCGGTGTTGGGGTGGTTGTATTGCTGCTGGGGCTGAGGTAGCTGGACACTGACGGTATTGCTTCCTGTGGTCTGAGTGGTCCCGATGGACCCGCTGACAGTCTGGCTGCTGATGCTGTGGTTCAGGGTGGTCCCTCCAGGGCCTTTGCCTTCTGAGGACGCCAGGCTGGAGGAGGAACTGGAGTGTCTGCTGTCCAGCTGGGGCTTCTGCTGGGGGAGCCCCGAGCTCGGCTTCCCACCCCGGCTCCGCTCCACCTCCTTGGAAGGCGCAGGGGCACTTGGGGATTTCCCGGGCATGCTCTTCATTCCTGGTTTTGGTATTCCACTGTGGGAAGGGGCTGTAGCCTCCTTCTTGGCACTGTTGAGCTTTCCCCCTTTGGGGATGAAGCTGGCGATCTTGGAGGACTTTTTTGGCATCTCGGTCACCACCGCCCCACTGGGGTCTTCCTTCGGCCCCTCTTTGAGGTCCGGCCTTTCCGTCACAGAGGCTCTCTTGGCGAGGTCCTTGCTTTTCTCCTTTTCCTTCTCCCGCTGTTGTTTCTCCTTTTCTTTCTCGTTGGCTTTCGGGGAACTCTTCTTGTTGGTCAGTGCCCGGCTAAAAGTTCTCTGGGCGATGCCCTTGAGTGCAATCTTGGGGCTGTTGGAAGCAGGACCCACCGTGGACAGCGAGCGACTGGTGGCCTCCATCTCTTCGCTCTCTTCAAAGCTGGGCAGAATCTCGAGCCGTTCGCAGCTCGTGTCCCGCGACCCCGGGCCCTCGCCTGCCTTGGAAGCCCCTTTGCTGTTGAAAAGCTTGAGTTTTTCCAGCATGGACTTCTGATTGTTGGGGGCCGGCTTCATGGCTTCAGCGGGGGACCTGGGGGCCTCGGGCATGGGCTGCTTGACCGAGAGCATAGACGACGTGGCGCTGTGCTTCACGCTGACCGACTTACTGCGCCAGGGCTTGGAGGCTGCGCCGGGCTGAGGGATGGCCGAGGAGGTGCTGCTGTTAGCGGGGCTGGAATTGCAGCCGCTCTCCAGAGGAGCAGGTGCATTTTCGCTCATTCCGGGGTGGGTGGAGGCTGGGCTCGCCAATGGCTCTGCAGAGATGGGGAGGAGAAGGAGAGTCGAATTATGCCTACAGACCAGCACTGCCGGTGAGGGAGGGTGGGCCATGGTTACGCGGGCCATCACTCTCCACCCAAATGCCAGATGGCGCCACCACCCGCCTGGTGCATTACCTGTGCTTCCAATTTCAGATCCTACCTGCCAACCGCTCTCCATCACACACCGTTCATATTCGCCGGCACATTCCGGGATATGCCGTGCAAATGCACACTGATCTTAACACCAACATGCGCAAAGCACAATTAAGCATACATTTACGGAAACACAAACTAGCAAAAACCTCCATCACCACTATGGTGTGTAGGAAAGATGTAGGAAATGCCTACTGTTTTGAATTATTCAACCCACAACCCAAGTTCCCAGTTATGCGAAATAACTGGGAATTAGCCAACTTTAAGAAAATGTAGGAGAGACATTAAAACAGGACAAAAAAAATAGAAAAAGAAAGAAAGAGAAACCAAGCATGATCTTTACAGAAGAATAATTACCCGAGAAAGTCGCTAGGTCCTATCAAAGCATATACATTTTTCTGTGCTGACACTCTGAAAGAGATACAAACATGATGCAGGCAAGACTTAAAAAAGATATTTTAGCTTCAGAGTATCACCCGCACATGGCTGCACCATAGGCATGAAAACACACAGGTTATTACAAAGTCAAGGCTTCCCCCTTGGCGTTCGCTCGGGGAGCATTTCCCCAGCCAGACTCTCTTCTCAGAATAACCTCAAGATATTTCCAAACTGAGAATCGGAATGATTCTGAGAAGGGCGGGTTCCACACTGGACTTGTGCTCGCCACCAAGGGGGCCCATACCCCAGGAATGAGGACTGTCACGCCCTCCTCCGGGAGCGCTCAGAACCACGCCGCTCTGTCGCCCTCATTACAGTAGCTGTCAGAAAGTGGCCGGGAAGGCACATCAAGGCTGAGCCCAGCGCCACGCCACCCACACCCCACGCCCGTCCACTGCACAGGACAGATGGGACGCGGCACTTCAGCCCCCAAAGGGCACATCCCCGTCTGCAAAGTTACCATGACATGACTTACCTGGCAGCAGCTACTTTCTCCTGCAACGGTTCCCCAGGAAAAATTCTCCAACCAGAGAGGCTGCCCTTCCAATTGTCACAAGTGTTTTCAGTTAAACTGCTCATGTTTCTAATTAACTTTTGTCATCCGCAACTGCTCCAGTACCCAGAAGCCTGGCGGGATTAACGGCTGCTTCTTCTGCCCTTTTTTTTTTTTTTTAATACCTATGTTCCGCTGCCTTCTAGCAACAGAGTAAACTGTGTATAGAGCGGCATTTTATGATTTAAAAGTCAACGGCTGCCGAAGTCGAGTGCAGGCAGCCCCTGTGTGGGGCATGAGCACCGAGCCCCGGGAACTCCCAGTGGAGGAACTGCTTCCCTCCACTCACTCCCAGTTGCTCTGGGAAGCCACAGCTCCAGGGTGATCCAAAGCAGACCTCCCAATGTTTTAAAACACATACATCTTCCTGACTTACTGGGGATTTGGGTTTGGAGTGGGGGGTGCTGCCCAATCCTCCCTAACAAAACTCACGGGGCGTTGTTGGATCTTTTCCTGGGGAGAGCTGGACACTGGCCTGGAGACAGGCTCACGAACCCACCCACACAGCTGGCCTTTCAGAGGGTCTCCACAGGCCGGACGCTGCTTATGGAGGGCCTCCTGGTATCAGGAGGTGCAGTGCTAGGCACACCGTGAAGAGGGGCTCACTGCCCCCTTTTTATGAGTCGGGAAACGGAAGCTCAAGGGAGGGCTAACAACTGACCCAAAATCACATAGCTAGACATGGACATAGCTGGGACTTGAACCCAGGGCTCCTGACACAGTGCTCTCGGGACTGAATCATCACAGCTACCTCTTTTGATGAAGGGTATATTTAAACAAGAGCGACTTGAGAGTGCTTTTGAGGCATCAACTTTTCCGTTGCTTAGGTGTGTTCATGGCATCCTTGGTGGGGCGCAAGCCAGCCCAGCCACTGGAAGGGAGGCAGCCTATGTGTAGAGGTTGGCTCTCTGGAGGTAATACTTGTGACCTCCAATCCTGAGTTCCACTTCTCTTAGGACAACTGTCTTTCCCTTTACCTGGGCTCAGATCTGGGGCAAAAGTATTCGCTCACTTGTTCATTCAGTATCTCCACTCATGTCAATATTCACTCATTCAATGCGTATGTAAGACATTGTTCTCTATACCTGGGACACACCGATGTGAAACAGCAAGGCCCCTGCCTTCATGGAGCTTACATTCCAGCAGAGAGGAAATGTTAATTAACGTAGTGAATGAATTTTATCATTTGTTAGAAAATAGGCGCTACATGATGTAATGAACACTGGGTATTCTATAAGACCGATGAATCACTGACCTCTACCTCTGAAACTAATAACACATTACTTGTTAATTAATTGAATTTAAATTTTTTAAAAATGAGGGGAAAAAAGAAAGTAAGTGCTAAAGTAAGTGCTAAAGTCTTGGGAGCAGGTTGTAACAATGGACATTGTTACAAGAACCACATGACGTTCAGAGGTGCGTGCCCTGCTTTCCTAAAGAAGTCTTGGGCACATTCCACTGAGTGTAAGTACATGGGTCAGGGTGACTTCTCTGCGCCCACACATTCCTTGGAACTTCTTTTATTATTATTATTATTATTATTGTTATGTTAATCACCATACATCATTAGTTCTTGATGTAGTGTTCCATGATTCATTGTGCATAACACCCAGTGCTCCACGCAGAATGTGCCCTCTTTAATACCCATCACCAGGCTAACCCATCCCCCCACCCTCCTCCCCTCTAGAACCCTCAGTTTGTTTTTCAGAGTCCATCGTCTCTCATGGTTTGTCTCCCCCTCCGACTTACTCCCCTTCATTCTTCCCCTCCTGCTATCTTCTTCTTTTTCTTTTTTCTTAACATATGTTGCATTATTTGTTTCAGAAGTACAGGTCTGTGATTCAACAGTCTTGCACAATTCACAGCATTCACCATAGCACATACCCTCCCCAATGTCTATCACCCAGTCACCCCATCCCTCCCACCCCCACCACTCCAGCAACACTCAGTTTGTTTCCCGAGATTAAGAATTCCTCATATCAGTGAGGTCATATGATACATGTCTTTCTCTGATTGACTTATTTCACTCAGCATAACACCCTCCAGTTCCATCCACATCGTTGCAAATGGCAAGATCTCATTCCTTTTGATGGCTGCATAATATTCCATTGTGTATATATACCACCTCTTCTCTATCCATTCATCTCTCGATGGACATCTTGGCTCTTTCCACAGTTTGGCTATTGTGGACATTGCTGCTATAAACATTGGGGTGCATGTACCCCTTCGGATCCCTACATTTGCATCTTTGTGGTAAATACCCAGTAGTGCAATTGCTGGATCGTATGGTAGCTCTATTTTCAACTGTTTGAGGAACCTCCATACTCCTTGGAACTTCTATAAAGCTTACTTGAAATGGTTTTGACAAATGCCCCTATCTAGCACGTCTGTGTATTTTTAACACTAACATCCACAGCTAGAAATTAACCAACGACTATCTAGCTCAACCAACAGACACCTGGCTCGGATACTTAAGATGTACAGAGCAAGCTGAGGTTGTGTGCCTCCTTCAGACGCAAGGTGCCGGGCAGGGGGGAAAGGGCTCTCACAATGTAGGCATGACGTATACTCACACTGTCACTTCTCAGGCTGTGCCAAAATGGCTCCCAGAAACTCCTACTTGTCTTTTAAACCCCTGCTCAAATGCCCTATCTGTCACAGTGAGACCCTAAAGCTGAATGAATCACTTGGTTTACATCACATGGCATTTCCCCCTACTCTGTATTTCCCTAGGACATTGTTCATACCTCCTCATAAACAGATTTTAGAGGGCTACCTACTTACACCAGGCACTGGGAATCCAGAAGAATAAAATACAGCTCCTGCCCTCTAGGAACTCACTGTCCAAAGGGGCAACAGGCCTCAAAGAGAGCAGAGAACAATGTAAGGGACTGTAGAGGGATGCCCAAAGTACCATGAGGCCTAAGGGTTGGGATCCATTAATTCTCCCATTTGGGAAACACTCACAGAGCCAATGACCTTTGAATTGTCATGCCATGTTTCTGGTATAGGCTGGCTGGCTATCCACTGCCCCCCACCCCCCGACTCATCTTTTTGCCCTATAGATTTCCAGAGCATAGAAACACTCGTGGCTTTGGAATTGTAGGTTGGTAGTTTGGGCTTACGCAATTCACATTTAAGACAACAGAGACACAGACTTCTGATTAGTCATTAGAGTTTTATTAGAACTTTTTAGCCTAAACTGCGGCAAAAACAAAAAACAAAATCAGGGCTCAGAGCCTCAGAATTTCTACTTGGCATTTAGCCTGGGCTCCCCTTGGTTATGGGATCCTGGGGACATTTCAAGGCTATTAGTCATAGCTGTAAAAGGTAGAGATGATCTGAATGTGGTTTCCAGAACAGGAGTTTCCTGACTAGGGCGACAGGGCATGAGAGCCCCTGAAGATAAGGCCATATATACTTTGTACTTATGTCATGGCTAGAAATCCCCTTAATAGTGAAGAGGGCTCCAGGTCATGAGTGGTCTTGACATGTCCTGTCATTCTGAAGGTATCACACAAGTGACCTTGGCTGAAGTGGCTGTTTGGGGCCTGTTCCTCTTTTTTTTGGAAAGCAGTCGTTTCTAATGCCAGGATTTTGTGATTCCTAGCGTGAGACTGTCCTTACCTTGCTTCAGAGATAGTGAAATAAATACAAAAGGGATGTGGGTAGGTGAGCCAAGCCTTAAGCCCTTGTTACCAGCCAACGGTGTGACCTTAGATGTGCCATTTTTCCCCTCTGGGCCTCAGTCGCCCCATTTGTAAGAGAGGATGAGCTATTTCTCTAGAGTCTTTTCAGCTCCACTTCCATTCAAAGCTCAGTGAGTCTCCGAGAGACCCAGTAAGGTTGG